TGGCATAGTGGTTAGGTTCATGCACTCTGCTTTGATGGCCCGGGGTTCACAGGTTCAGATCCTGGGTGTGGACCTACGCACCGCTCCTCAAGCCATGCTGTGGTGGCATCCCACATATAAAGTAGAGGAAGATGGGCACGGATGTTAGTCCAGGGCCAATCTTTCTCAGCAAAAAGAGGAGGCTTGGCAACAGATGTCAGCTCAGGGCTAATCTTCCTCACCAAAAAATAAAAAAAAAATTTTTGGTTTCAGGGCTTTCCAGACTTTGAAACTGTAGCTAGGGACTGTGCACGTACGCTCCTTTGTGTGATTTCACTGTTGTTTATTTAACCCACAAATAGATAATTGAATAGATACTAATCTTTTGCTATTATAAAAAGTGCTATTAATTAATCCAGTATTGGATAAACTTCTACAAGAAGAGCTAGGTCAAAGATTAACTGCACTGGTTACCTTTGGTAGATGTTGTTAAATTGCTCTCCATAGGATCTGCACAACTTTGCAAGTCCACAGCAATGTAGGATACTGCCTATTTCCCTGCAACCTTACCAACAGAGAATATCATCAAGCTTTCGAATATCTGTTAATCTAATAGCAAAGAAATGATATCTCAGTGTACATTTAATTTACATTTATCTTTTTTTTTTTTTTAATGATAAAGATTTTTATTTTATTTATTTTTTCCCCCCAAAGCCCCAGTAGATAGTTGTATGTCATAGCTGCACATCCTTCTAATTGCTGTATGTGGGACTCGGCCTCAGGATGAACGGAGAAGTGGTGCCTCGGTGCGCGCCCGGGATCCGAACCCGGGCCACCAGCATCAGAGCGCATGCACTTAACCACCAAGCCACGGGGCCGGCCCCAAATTTACGTTTATCTTATTATGAGTGAGGTTGAGCATCATTTCACATATTCAGAATTACTTATATTTTTCCTGTGAATTATCTGTGTGTATCCTTTGCCCATTTCCCACTGAGTTTTTAGTATCTTAAAATCAAATTCTAGAAGCTCCTTATTAATTAGGACATTTAGCCCCTTGTTTGTGATATGAGTTGCAAGCATTTTTTCTCACTTTATCACGGAAAGAAAATTTTAATTAATTAATGCCAAATGCCAGATATTGACATATATCCTTCATCATATATTATTAATTCATTCAAATAACAATTAAGTATCAAGCACTACACTAGGTAATGAGCATACAAAGATTAAAAAGATATAGTCTAAATCCATCTTAAAGGTAAGGCAACTACAGAAACAAAAAATTACATCCATAAGACCAGCACTATCATAAAGGCATCTATACAAATTCCATGCAATTAGAAAAGACAGCACAACTAGCTCAGCTTACAGTAGAAGGCTTCACAGTGAAAACATTTGATTTGGGCTTTGAAGGCCATTACCTGAAAGAAAAGGTTAGGGATAGCCACTTCAAATAGAAAGAACAACTGTGAAGGCACGACAAGGACACGGCCCATTCATGGCTCACTGGGTGTGGCTGGTGGGTGCCGAACAGTGTGACAGGGGTGAAGCAGAAGGAAAAAAATGTTCCAGGGTGAATCTGGTAAAAGGAAATTGGTGTGAGACCGTGAAGGGATCTGCTTGCCTTGCTAAGGAATCTGGACTTTCCCTCATTCACCATGGGGAGACACTACAGATTTTTGAGCAGAAAACAGGAATAATCAGACCCTTATTTAATAAAAACCATTGTTGGGCCGGCCCTGTGGCTTGGTGGTTAAGTGCGCGCGCTGCGATGCTGGCGGCCCGGGTTCGGATCCCGGGTGCGCATCGAGGCACCACTTCTCCGTTCATCCTGAGGCCGAGTCCCACATACAGCAACTAGAAGGATGTGCAGCTACGACACACAACTATCCACTGGGGCTTTGGGGGGAAAAATTAAAATAAATAAAATCTTTAAAAAAATAAAAACCATTGTTAGGAACATGGAGTACTGATGAGAAGCAGGGAGACCAGCATGATTGCTCCTGTGGTAGACTAATCCAGAGAAGGCGACAGCCTGACCTGAGGCAGAAGCTGTGGGAATAGACACACTCATTGGAGATCTAACAAGCAAAAAAAAAAACTCACATGACTTGAAAACTGATTTGATACTGGAATGTGAAAGAGGAAGAAACCTAAGCTGACTGCGAGATTTTAGCTTGCCTGAGTGGATGGTGATGTCATTATAAACGAAATAGGAATCTTGGGAGAAGTAGGATATATGGGTGTGATGGGATAGGGGGTGCGTGAGGAACGGGGGGTCCAGCTTGGGTCTTAAATCTAATTACCTGTGACTCATCGGGTGCCTAGACTTAAGCAATTGGCAACATACAAACACGAATCTGACGTTCAAAAGTGAGCCTCGTAGTCACTGAAGTTGAAGCCTAAGAGGTAGAGACCGTCAAGGGAGACTGTAGCAGGGGGAGTACACTGAGTGAGTGATACCCGGAAACATCAACATTTGAGAAGAACCTAACAATTGAAAAGGATATTGCGACACCACTAAAGGTCAGTAAGAGTTGACGGACTAATCTGCGTGCTACCCGCACTGCCACATAGCCCTGATCCAATTACAGTACCTGGTAGGGCACGCTGCAGCGGAAAAGAACTCCAGTGTTAACCACGAATCCTTAACATCAGATGGAAGCAAAAACTTTAACAAGATCTCAGTCCTTTAAAAAACTCTTTAATTTTGCTTTTACTGAAGATCATGCTAATTGTGTTAATTTGTATATTTCCTGTCCAAAACTGCTGTAACCAATGCCTGGGAGGGAGGAGGAAAAGCACTTCGGTCCTTCTACAGGCCGTTTAGATATGTGAAATTCAACCTGTTTTAAGTGTTTTTAGAATTGTGGTTTCAATTAATTCTACTTGTTGAGTGTAGTAATTAGGTATTCATGAACATATTGCTGTAATTTCTGACATCTCACATAAAATCTTCTGAAATCAATAACGATGTGATCGAAAAACTGCAATTCAATTTTGAAGTTTATATTCAAACCCACACCTGTAAAATGGAGATAACGTATCTACGTTATAGAATTTGTATAAGACTCAGAGACTAACTACATAATCTTTCGGCACCATCTGACACACGGAAGGAAGTCAATAAATAGGAGATATTATTATCACTGTTAAGGGAGCCAACGCTGAGTCAAAATTACTTTAACCTAAGGGAGAAAAAGGTGCCATTTGATGTTTCTTTGAAAAATAATGGATAATAGCTACTACTAATATTTACTATATACTAGGTACTGTAAATATTAACTAATTTAACCCCTTGCAGGAAACCCCAAGAGTTAGGTACTAGTGTTATTCTTTTTTTTACAGATGAAGAAAATGGGCACAAAAAATTCAAGTAACTTGCCCAAGGTCATCCAGTAAATAAATGCTGGGTCTGGGATTCAGACACAAGTGGTTGGGTTCCAAAGTCCATGAACCTGAACCGATTTCCACTGCCTCTTCACCACTATCTCAACTCTTCAGCTCCCTAATTTTTCAAATTCTCAGTGACTCTACAAGCTCACATCATCTTGCATATCATTTTAAGGGGCTGAAGTCAGGGCCTCCACAGACCCTAAGTTAAGCACCTCTGACTGAAATAGAAGCTTATATTAAATATTATTTTACCTTTGCAGAAACAAAGAAAGTTTTTCTTAAAACACAGTTACCAATAAAACACAATTAGGCTTGGAATGACAGAGTCTACTATTACTTTTTTGCTTTACTTTAAAAGTATAGATAATAATAGCTAACATTTATTGAGAACCAGGTATTATTTAAAGTACTTTTTATGTATTATGTCGCTTAATTCTCACAACCCTATGAGGTAGGTCCTTCCGTAACCCCCATTTTATAGATAGGGAAACTGAGGTCAGGAGTATTTAAATAACTTGCTCAGTAACAAGTAACAGCTGAGATGTATATTCCAGAGCCTGTTCTCTTAGCTACTACATTATATTATTTCTCAAGGTGTTACACATGCAAATGGAAAATTCCGAGTATCTCATGTTAATTACATTACATAATGAATGAAAAAGCACTCTGTAAACGATCAAGGTCATGTATTTATTATTTTTTAGGTGCTTATCACTACAGATTTAAAAAAAAAAAAGAAATGATGGTGATAAAAAGACAAGCAACCTACCAGGTTTTGGCTAAATATACGTGGCTACCACAAACTTTCCAGTTTGGAAACTATCTACCAAGGTCATGTTTTCTTCTCCTATACCATCTCCAAATTTACTCTGCTATTACATAGGGAAGGTAGTAGACATGATTTTTCCTTTTACAATGCTAAAGTAATAGATTCCCTTCTCTTCTAGTCTTCTCCAACAGTGGATTGTTGTCCCTCTATCCTAATTACGTTGCACAACTGGGGCTTGCACAACAATGGTAAAGAGGTCACAGATAACGACCAGTTCGTCAGTCTAATTCCTTTGTCCTTTAAAAAAATAAAATCTGTAGCAAAGTAAAGCATTAGTGTTCAGTGGACCTCCCTGGGATAAGAGATCCGCAACAGCAAACACCAGATACTTCCTTTTCTTCACGCCCATCCGTGTGTCTGTTTCTTTCACGTCCAGGCCTCCTCGGCGCCCTGAAATACCTCCTCTAGCCGGGCAGAGACCCTCAACCAGAGGTCTCTGGCCGCAACCCTCCTGTCTCCAGGCCCGCCCAGCGTCCGTCCCCTGCGCCCCGCACTCGCCGTCACAGCCCTCGTCCCAGTTTTCGGGTTGCCCAGCTACCTGCCAGTCTCTGCCACGGTCAGCGCAGGAGTGCTCGGGTCAGTTGCCTTCTTATGACCCCTGCTCCTGCCCACCATCTACGAGGCATTCAATAAACGCCTGCGGCATGTTGGCCAAGAAAGATCCAGGCGCACTCTCAACTTCCCCACCTGGGCCCCAACCTGCTGATTTCTCTCCATCACCTTTTCTCCCTTTCCCTTCCCGCCCTGCTCTGGTGCCTTCTGCCTCCTTTCCCCGCCCTCCTGCCATCCCTACCTAGAGACGGTCCGCCGCCGATCCAACCGCTGCCGGGTCCGAGGCTGCCCGGGCGGGTCCGCAGCCGCTGTCAAGTAGAGGGCGCTGCCTGGAGGGGCGGAGCTAAACCCCACGCTCAGAGCGGCAGGAGCCGCCCACCAATCAGGGGCCGGCAGCATAAGCTGATATGACGGTGGATCGCGCGACTTGGCGGCGCACGGCTCTCGGCGGTCACGTGACGCCGCGAGCTCGGGGCTCCTCCCCAGGCAGCTTGGCCTCCTGTGGGAAGGGAGGGCGGAAACCTGATTCAGGTCCTGAGGCGCCAGAGTGTCAGGGTTTTGTTTCTTTGCTTCTTAACTGGCGCTGACGTCTGCAGCTCAGTCTTGTAGGAAGCGGGTTTACCGTATTTGTGGAAACATTCCAAGACATGATGCTCTACCTTGAGGGAAATAGATGACACTTCCTTTGAAGTGAATGTCGGAGGCATCTTCCCACTCAAGTGAAGGAGGCTCAAATATGTCAGACAATTGCTAATATTTCTCTCCAGAGCCTGACCTTGTACATAGCTTTGAATGGCCAGAATCTGGCTGAACCAGTTTACGTGTGTACTTAAACGACAGAAACCCTTTCACAGTGCAAGTGAAGCAAATCTATGCAGACCAAACGGGAATATCTGTAGATTCCTAGTGGTTTGGTTTGTGTGCCAGTGTGTAGTTTTTATTTTTGTGGTTGTTAGCTTTTCTAAACATGAATTGCAGTGGTCACACTTGTAAATCAACCTTCCTGGGAGCCTCAGTGTGGTGGCTGTCAGAGCCCAACCAGCAGCCTCAGCATCATCTGAGAATTTACCGGAAATGCAAAAATTTTGGGAGCCACCCTAAACCTGCTGGATAGCAAAGTCTGGCAGGGCTCCAGGAATCTGTGTTTTAACAAACCTGGAGTGAGTCTAATGTTTGTTCAAGTTTGGGAACCACTGCTCTGGTGAACTTGACCAATCAGAAGAAAATCTGACTATGGTTCAATTTTGCTCCCTCCAGAGTGATAAGGAGACGAAAATACTGGACAGTGCGAGGTGACTAAGTTTGACAAAGATCATTTCTATTTCCTTGTAGAACCATCAGAAGTGCTACAATGTAAGGAGAGACATTATTAGACTCTAATCATTAAAACCTTCTATATGAGTATTGTTTTAAATATCTGTGGCTTGCCTCCTGCTTTCTTTCTTTTTTTGTTAACAAAAAAATGTTAATTTCAGGTGTACAGCATAATGACTCGGTATTTGTATGTATTGTGAAATTGCCTCCTGCTTTCTAAATCACATTTCTTCTCCTTTGTTTGCTTTGCTATTGTTCTTATCTCATCCTTTCAGTTTTGAGATTAAGATAGTTACATTCGGGCCAGCCCCGTGGCTTAGCGGGTAAGTGTGCGCGCTCCGCTACTGGAGGCCTGGGTTTGGATCCAGGTCGTGCACCAATGCACCACTTGTCCGGCCATGCTGAGGCCGTGTCCCACATACAGCAACTAGAAGGATGTACAACTATGACATACAACTATCTACTGGGGCTTTGGGGAGAAAAAGGGAACCAAAAAAAGGAGGAGGATTGGCAATAGATGTTAGCTCAGAGCTGGTCTTTCTCAGCAAAAAGAGGAGGATTGACATGGATGTTAGCTCAGGGCTGATCTTCCTCACAAAAAAAAAAAAAAAGAACAGACTTCTCTTGAAGTCTTGATTAGGAAATCTGACATTGAAATTATAAGTAAACTTCAAATATAATATCCTGAATAGCTAGAATTTTATCCTTGACTACATACTAGTGGTCTTTTGGCACTTAGAGGTTCCCAAGGTTTGAAAATGTGCAACTTGCTCCTGGCAACCGAAAATAGAAATAAATTAATCCCAAGAGAACAATCTTTTTAAATTTTAATTAATTTTAAATATATTAATAGAGTATCCTAGGATGCAGCTTTTCCATATGCTTTCTCTGTCCAGGAATAATGTTCAGGATAATTTATTTATTCATTATTTGCAAAGTTCTATAAGCTATAATGCCTGCCTACATGTCTGGTTGGGACATAAACATGTAAACAAGCCAGTCAATCATTTATTCAATAGATATGGAATAGCTGATAAGTGCCAGGCCCTGTTCTATGCACATGAGATAAATTGGTGATCAAGAGAAATAAAGTCCCTGCCTCATGAAGGTTATACACTAGTGGAGGAGATGGAAAACAAACCAATAAATAGATAGGTAATATAATGTCAGTGATCAATGCTATGAAGCAAACAAAACAAAAAGTAATGTGATCAAAATTGATGAGGGCTGTTCCTTTGGACAGCATGGTCATCTTCTCTGAGTGGGGGAACATTTGACCTGAGTGGAGTGAGGGGGCCTCATTTACTTAGAAGATTCTAAACAGAGATTTAGAGTCTGAATGTTTTCGATGAATTGGTAGGGCCACTGGTTCACAAACATCTATTTGCATGAATTAATTTTTTAGGGGGAAAAGAGTATTCAAGAAAAAGGTAGGTGCACAAATGTCCAAAAGCAGATCATAGGAAGAGAAGGTATTTATTCCTCACCCTGGCCCCATGGATTAGGTTTCAAGTTAGAGTATGGTACTTAACATTTTAGGGATCAGAGATCCCTCTGAAAATTAGATGAAAGCTCTGGTCTCTGTCCTTGGAAAAGTCCACATGTGCATACAGTAGAAGCTCTTCCTAACCACTATCCACTTAACTAGTGTTCTCAATTCCCTTTCTGAAGTACCAACTAATCCCTGCAAAATACTGAAGACTCACAGGGAGCAGCCTTCTTCCCTTTGGTTCACCTGTGCATATCTGCTTTCACCAGTTGAGTGGAATGCTTACAAAGAGTCAATTGTGTTTGTTTCCAATCTATTTATTTCCCTTGTATTCTTCAAACTTATGTAATTAAATTACTTAAGTTGGTAAAATTTGAGTCTGCGAAGAAAAAGAGTTATTGTTTCTATGAAAACCAAGAAGAATGCTTTGGAAAGACCAGATAAAGATGAGTGCTAATAAAAATAGCCATTGAATTAAGTGTAGGCAAGGTGGTTATAAAAGACTAGAGAAAATTTTAAAAGCCAAAAATCTAGTAGGATTCTGCATTTAATTTGCTTTGCAAGGGTCTTTAATTGTTTCCACTTTGAACAAAATAAAACTGAAAATCCAACACAAAGCACTAGAGATGTAGTTTATGTAAGAAAGACTACCCAGAGCTCCAATCAGAGGAACCATACCCAAAAGAAAGGCCTTAATGACTGGGGAATAAATATTTAGGGAAAAATAAAATTCTTAAGGTACACATATTGATAAGGATGTAAGTTAGACTTCATGTGACAGAGACTCAAAATAATAGGAGTTTACTGCAAAAAGTTTATTTTTCTTTCATATAAAAGTGTTAATTGGGGCTGGTCCAGTGGCACCAGTGGTTAAGTGTGCATGCTCCGCTGCAGCGGCCCAGGGTTCGCCAGTTCAGATCCCGGGCATGCACCGACGCATCGCTTGGCAAGCCATGCTGTGGCGGCATCCCATATAAAGTGGAGGAAGATGGGCACAGATGTTAGCCCAGGGCCAGTCTTCCTCAGCAAAAAAAAAAAAAAAAAAAAAAGAGGAGGATAGGCAGATGTTAGCACAGGGCTGATCTTCTTCACACACACACACAAAAAAGTGTTAATTAGGGCCAGCCCCAGTGGCCTAGAGGTTAGGTTCGGTGTGCTCCAGTTTGGTGGCCCAGGTTCGGTTCCTGGGCGCAGACCTACACCACTCATCTGTCAGTGGCTGTGCTGTAGCGGGTGGCTCACATACAAAAAGAGGAAGACTGGCAGCAGAAGTTAGCTCAGGGAAAATCATCCTCAGCAAAAAAAAAAAAAAAAAAGTGTTAATTAGCATAGTTGTCAGTGATAAACTCCAACATTATAAAGACTCAGATAAGTAGAAATTTATTTCTCACATAACAGTTCAAATGGATGATTCTGGTCAATGGGCAGCCCTATTCCACATAGTAATTCAAGGATCCAGTCTTTTCCATCCAGCTCCACCATTTTCATAATCTTTTGTGCCTTAACTAGAGAACTAGGGAAGAGGGTGTAGAGTATGCATACTTTTTTTTAGCCTTGATCTGAAAACTTTTTTAAAGCCTTGGTCTGGAAATTCCACACATCCCCTCTCACAAGCTATTGGCTGCAACTCGGTCACATGGCCACATCTAACTATCAGGGAGGCTGAGAAATGTGATCTTTATTCTGGTAGTCTATTCGTATAGCCAAAACCAGAGTTTCTATTACTGTAATAGTTGTCTATTGCTTTGCAACAAATTACCCCAAAACGTAGTGCCTTGAAACAATAAGCATTTACTTCACCGTTTCTGTAGATCAGGAATCTGAATGCAACTTAGCTGGGTCCTGTGGCTCTGGATCTCTCAGAAGGCTGGAGTCATCTCAAGGTTTTATTTGGGGAAGGTCACTTCCAAGGCTGTCAGCAGCCTCAGAAGATCTGCTTGCGTGCTCACTCACACGGCCATTGGCAGCCGTCAGATCCTCATTGGCTATTGCCAGTGAAATTGGTTTCTTGCCACCTGGCCCTCTCCATAGGGCAGCTCACAACGTGGCGGCTGGCTTCCCTCACTGTTGTGAGGGAGGAAGTAAGAGAATGAGCAAGAAAGAAGCCAGAATCTTTTTTGTAATCTAATCTCAGAAGTGACGTTCCATCACTGTTGCTGTATTCTGTTTGTTAGAAGCAAGACACTAGGTCTAGCCTACACTGAAGGGGAGGGGATTACACAAGGGCGTGAACACCAGGAGGCGGGGATACTACATTGGGTAGTATTTTAGAGGCTATCACAATTACTCTATGAGAGAAGGGAAAACTATATACTGGGAAACAATGAGTAACCTCTCCCATGGTATTTATGTTTCATTTTTTGGTGATTCCTCACTTTAATAAACTTTTGCAATTAGCCAACCACTCCCAAATATGTTGGATAACAGTAATAGCTAACATTTAACAAGTGTCAGGCACTATCTAAGTGCTTTATGTGTTATTAACTCCTTAAATCCTTACACCAGCCCTTTGAGGTAGGTGTTGTTAT